AACACAGATTTGTGATTCATATGTGATTTTGCTGATAGTGAATTGCGCTTAACACAGATCAGAATATAATCAGGTAGATATAATTATATTAGGTTGACCAATATAAGAACATGAAAATCAGAGCTGGGCAGTAATTAAGTGCAAATCGTTCCTTACTACAGTAGAATTTTCAAGTATCTGTAATTATTATCTTGACAACTTTTTACTTTTAGTCCCTGTATTTTAAAACAAATAGCTGTATTTTATACTTCTTATAGACTTGTTACTTTAGTTTCAATGGTTAAAGTAGGCAAGAAAGAGTGCAGCTGTTGTCTCACAGTGTGTTGCAGCTATAGGTCCAACTGCTGTATTACACAGGGAGAGCAACGAAAGGCACTCAGAGATGGAGAAAGATAAGAAAGACAGAGCATGAGAGGAATGAGAGATTCAAACACAATAACTGCACAGTTGTGTTTGATAAACCTGGAAGCTTAAATATAATGCCATAATTTTCATCACATATTGGTTTTGTATGCGGTGTGTTTGATAAATTAGGTATTGTTAAACCTCCTGCAAAAAAACTAACCTATACTTATTTTGTGAATTCGAACGTTGCATGAGAATACTGGTTAGTTTTGTCAAGGATAAACAGGTTAGGTTGTGTTAGTGTGGTGAATTCACAGTAAAGCTGTGTGCTGGACTGCCTTACAGTGACTGCAGTGCTCATAATCATTTACGTTACATCAAGTGTAGCAGAGATTTTAACTTGCATTTAAGATGAAATTGCTTAGCTTAATTTACTGAACACCAAGTTTATACTGTCTATTGTAAAGACAATAAAAAAGTATAGTGTGTATTGAGTGTTGCTAAGAGAGATCAAACTGCTGCCCAAACTGTCGACTTACAAATTGCCTCTGTATTTTTGGCTTTTCTTCCTCAAATTATTGGATTGAATTCTTAATTCAGAAGGACTTTCAATTTCACCATATTTCCACTGAATTCCTGTTGGGTTATTATTAGCAATTCGGATTAGAGATAAATTCAGCTGTGCTCATTCTCTCCAACCACTCTTTTCTGAAAGGTAAGGCAGCACACCCAGGCTTCTAAAATGAATAGAATTTTTAACAAGTGCCCAATAAAGAGGGCAGGTGCTGCTAACAAGTGGACCAGTCCTGCAAGGCTACTCTGGAGCCTGTTTTTCTTATCAGTTAAAGATGGGTGGAGATTCTAGTGATTGGGAGGTAGTCATAGTCTGTATAACTCATAGTACATGAGTTAATAATTTATTCATCAACAAATTGATTTACTCTGATTTACAGAAACCTGGTTGCAGCAGGATGATTATGTTAGTTTAAATGATTCAACACCCCCGAGTCATTCTAACTACCAGAAATCTCGAAGCACAGGCCGAGGGGGAGGTGTGGCAGCAACTTTTCACACCAGCCTATTAATCACCCTAAAAATGACAGCCTCAACATGACATTTAGTCTGTTATTAGACTCAATTGGTTTCTCTCAAAATGTAAAAGAACCCACCCACCACTTTAATCACACTCTAGATCTTGTTCTAACATATGGCATAGAAACTGAACATTTAACAGTGTTTCCTGAAAACCCTCTCCTGTCTGATCATTTCCTGGTAACATTTACTTTTACAATAATTGATTACACAGCGGTGAGAGTAGACTTTATCACAGTAGATGTCTTTCTGAAAGTGCTGTAACTACGTTTAAGAATATAATCCACCCACTGTTATCATCTCCAATGCCCTGTACCAACACAGAGCAGAGCAGCTATCTGAACGCTACCCCAACAGAGGTCGATTATCTTGTTAATAATTTCACCTCCTCACTACGTACGACTCTGGATACTGTAGCTCCTGTGAAAACTAAGGCCTCAAATCAGAAGTACCTGACTCCGTGGTATAATTCTCAAACACGTACCCTAAAGCAGATGACTCGTAATCTGGAGAGGAAATAGCATCCATGAGCCTGGTTCTGTTTGAGGTTTCTTCCTGTTAAAATGGAGTATTTTCCTTCCCACTGTCACCAAAGTGCTTGCTCATAGGGGGTCAAACAATTGTTGGGGTTTTCTCTGTATGTATTATTGTTGCGTCTACCTTACAGTATAAAGCGCCTCGAGGCAACTGTTGTTGTGTTTTGTTGTGATTTGGTGCTATATAAATAAAAGTGAAAAGAATTGAACTGATTAAGGTTGGTGAAACCTGCAGTCAGCTTAGACTGAAGAAGTCATTTGCATAAATGAGGAAACGTTTTTCAGACTGAAAACGCTGCTGCTGGCTGTGCGATTGGCCTCCTCAACTGTTCTTACGCCACCACTGCCTTCAGTGTGTGTGGCCTCCAGACCTGCTCAGGAATGTACTTCTGTGCTACCGACCACTGGGTCAACCCCCTGAACTGTTTTAGGTTTTGTTGAGATGAAATTTTTTGAAGTGCCTCAATTCTATGCTTTATATTAACTAAAATGCCATATAACCATAACGTGGAGTATTAAGTGGACATGGCCCTGAAAATAAAGGCATTAGACTACGTGTCAGGATTGGACCCTGAATATCTTCATGTTCCTGTGAATACATAGGCCTTAACTAATAAACTTAACACGCACACAAACAAAAACACACGCACACAAATAATGAATGAACAAACAAACCTTTGACTTTGAGCACCACTATTTTCTTTCTGATTAACGTTTCCTTTCTCCAGACTAAACATCTGTATCCTCCACTGTCTGCCTCTCTGGGCTGTTTCAGGGTCAGACTGAGGTCTCCAGTTCTCAGCAGGTCTTCGTTCACCTTCGTTCGGTCTTTGTAAACCTGATGCTGTTCTTCAGGCTGGTCAGAGCCGTTCATATACACGTGGACCTTCCTGTAATTGTCCAACCACTCCACTTTAGAATCTTCAGGCAGGTTTTTTGAGGTACTAAAGGGCAGCTGGATGGACTCTGCCCCATCCTCCACCTCGACCTGACAGACTGAGAGGACAACAAACACAACATAAGCTGTCACATCGTGAAGGAGACGTTGAAATCACTGCTATTTTTTTAAGTGGCTATACATCAATACAACAACACAACCATTATGTCCAAAAACATCACAAAGAAAATGCACAGAAGTGCAATAGACTACAAAATAATCTTTTATTTGAGTTGTTTTTCTTTTACACATATTTGTAGTTACAAAAATTTCAGGGATATATCCCTCAAAACTGTAAATGCAAAAAAGTTGCACAAAATAGTTTTCAACCACAGGAAATTTATTCTGACTGTCTTAACAGTGCAATCTGAGTTCTAAGAGTCCAGGAAACTATACAGAAGGGCATAAAGTCAAACATGGTTTTCAAAAACACCAGTGAACCTTTGAAAAGCCCTGTAGGGAAAAACTACATTTCCCAAAAAATGACATAATTTCCGATTTTTGCAGTTAATGACAGATATGCGATAGTTCAAGTTAACAACCTGATGATATTTATTCCAATGTAAAAAGTTCTATAAACAGCTGATCGGACTGGCAACGTTTGTCTCTCGATTATAATTTTGGCTGTTTTACGTAATCTTTGCGAAGCCATATAATGAGCCACAGTTCGACCGTGATTTTAAAAAAGTAACGCAAATGGGCTTAAAAGCGTTAAGGACAGACTGCATTGAGTGAGTCACGACACTCATACAATAGACAAAAACAATCAGCTGTTGGTACCAAAAAGCTAGCAGGAAATCTGCAGCAGATAATGACCTGATTTCATTGGCTAGGCATCCAGGAGGATGGGCATCAGCACTGACCTCTGACTTTCAGCTCCACTTTTCTCTTCAGCAGGATGTTTCCCTCCCTGCTGTAGACGGTGCAGGTGTAGGTGTCTGTGTTGTAGTCTGTGGGGTAGTTCAGGGTCAGACTGAGGTCTCCAGTTTTCAGCAGGTCTTCATTCATCTTCGTTCGGTCTCTGTAAACCTGGTGCTGTTCTTCATGCTGGTCAGGGTCGTTCTCATACACGTGGACCTTCCTATAGTTGTCCATCCACTCCACTTTAACATCTTCAGGCAGGTGAAGTGTGGTGTTGAAGGGCAGCTGGACAGACTCCACCCCTGAATCCACCTCCACCTGGGGGACTGAGAGGACAACAAAGCACAACATGAGCTTGGATGGAGACATTTGTGTTGACTCTAACAGGCTGAATGCTGCTGCTTCACTGGGAGCTACACGAACAAACTAAGTAACATATACGGCTACAACATTGTCCATGTGCCAAGACTGCTAGCAGGGTAACATGCTAACCCTGATTAGCATCTCCATTTTAATTCACAGTGTTATTGAAACACTGATGCTTTGTGGGGTTAGTTAGTAAACTGTACATGCTGCTTTCACGTGCAGCATGTACGTGCATCTATAATCATAACTGATTATAGATGAGGACCAAAGAAGGTTTTTACTGAGATTTGAGCTGACTTAGCTTAGCCTGTGTTTTAGCCACATGCTAAACAAACACATGTTCAGAAACTAGAAGATGTTACCTTTCAGATGAAGTCTCACACATGAACTTTGCTCCTACAGTTCATCTGCTGAAGCTTTTACATTTGGCTGGAAATCAAAAAAAAACCAAAACAGCCACAAACATCAGACATGCTAACACTGTAACATTATTGGATGGAGCCACTGAGACTGAACCACCATCATGAGTCTGACCTCTGACCTTTGACCTGTATCTACAGCACTGACCTTTGACTTTCAGCTCCACTTGTTTCTCCGACAGGATGTTTCTCTCCCTGCTGTAGACGGTGCAGGTGTAGGTGGAGTTGTCTCCATCTGTGGGGTGTTTCAGGGTCAGACTGAGGTCTCCAGGTTCCAGTAAGTTTCTCTTCATCTTTGTTCGGCCTTTAAAATCATCATGCTGTTCTTCAGGTTGGTAGGAGCCATTCTCATACACGTGGACCTTCTTGTTGTTTTTGTCCTTCCACTCCACTTTAGCGTATTTAGGCAGGCAAACCATGGTTTTGCAAGGCAGCTGGACAGACTCCACCCCTGAATCCACCTCCAACTTGTAAACTGAGAGAACAACAAAGCACAACATTTGCAATAGTAAAGGTTACTAGTGATCTTCTGATGGCCTCTTACTGTGGACTTATTTCTGTGCTTGTCCTGTTAGACCTCAGTGCACCATTCAATGCATTGATCATAATATTATACTACAGAAAACATGCTGCAGGTTTCAGAGGAATTATAGCTTTTAATCGGATAGATTACAATTTGTTCATGTAAACTGGGAGTCTTCTTAACACGCTCAGCGTGTTCCACCGGGCTCTTTGCTGGGAAAAATAGTTTGTTTTTTTTATTTTATACATGCTTGCTTTACACAATATTATTAAAGATTACTTTATACATTTTCGTTGCTATGCCAATGAATCCCAGTTATGATGAAAAAGGATACCAGATGTCACAAATCAGAAATTTATGGGCATTATGGGTAGTGTAGTAGCAGAGACTCACCTGACATGAAATACTGGCGGAAATAAAATAAAAGACCCCCAGAAGTGATGAGAACGAGAACCAGAATAACTATGAGAGCTTTGAGCCAGGATGGAAACCATTCTGTGGAGAAAAAAAAAGAATAATATGATCTTTGACTGAATGTCATTAAAAATGTAATGAGTAGACCTTTGCTTAAATCAAAGGGCCGACATGGTTATTCTGACACTGTTAAAATAATAAAGCTTCATCTGATTGATGCGACATGTATCTACAACAGCTGTTTGTTGTTGACCTTTGACCTGCAGCTGTACATCTCCCAGTTTCCGGTTGCCATATTTAAGGTCTGTAACGGAGCAGGTGTAGGTGCCGCTGTCAGACAGTTGGAGGTTGGTCAAAGTGAGGTTGAGGTCTCCAGTTTCCAGAGCGTCAGCCTTCATGGATGTTCGGCCGCTGTAACGCTGGTTTTGATCTTTCAGTTCGTCTCCTTGAAGCTGGCGCTGACGGTGGACGGTTGGAGGACTGAGGTCGGAGCGACTCCACACCACTGCGGGGCTGTCCAGTTCAAAAGTGGGAAAATCGCAGGGGAGCAAGACAAATGGCTGTCCCACATAAAGTTCCACAGCCGAGGCATATTGGGAAACTGAGGACACAGAAAGAGACTCAATATATTAATTTGACATTTGTTTCAGCTGCAGATAAAAATGTTCGGTGTCCACCAAAGGAGAATCAGCAGGACTGTGATTTTACTGCATTTTAGTGCACTTTCATTGAAACTTAAATACATTTTAGTTTCTCAACGGGCCAAAATAATAGGAACAGAAACAGACTGCTGTAATGTCAGCTCACACTGACTCTTTGTGTTCACTACATTTTTTTTTTTTGATATTTTTTTATTACTTTTGCAACAACATACAAAGGTAGTTTCCAATAATATGCTGTTGTAATAGAAACCCTTTTCCCCCACCCTCACCTCCCACTCTGCTCTCTTCCGAACAAAGAAAAAAGAACAAGCTCACATGAAATATATATACAATTGTACGTGGCAATTTATACATAATTCAAGAGAAAGAAAAAAAAAAGAAGAAAATATAATCAATAAGAATAAACAATAAAAATAGCATGCACATGCTAAACAATTTCCTCCTACTCCACTCTCCTACATAAGTTGTTCTATATTTGCTACTTTTAAGAATTTTTTAAATGGCTTCCAAATTTCATCAAAATATATTAACTTATTTTTCAGAAAGTACGTAATCCTTTCCATTTCCATACACTGTGTCAAGGAGTTTATCCAAGCGCCAATAGCAGGAGGAAATGATGTTTTCCAATTTATTGCAATCATACGTTTTGCCTGTAATGTACAGTAATCCATAAACTTAATTTGATAGGTTGTTAATTTAATATTTTTAGGATACACTTGTAGTAGCATCATTTCTACATCTAAAGTTTTTATTTAAAATCTGGTTTATTTTGTTCATCACCTCCTGCCAAAAGGCACAAACAATTCTACATTCCCATATACAATGAAAAAATGTTCCACGGGCTTCTCCACATTTAAAACATGTATCTGGTATTCTATTATTATATTTATTCAGTTTCACCAGTGTTACATATGTTTGCATGATCCAATTGTATTGTAGTAATTTTAAGTTACTATTAATCGATTGTTTTTGTGCTTTTAAGCAAATTAACTTCCATGTCTCCTCAGAAATATTGATATTTAGGTCCTTTCTCCAACCTTCCAACTTAGAAACTGATGTTTCTGAAGAGGCAGAAACAATCCAATTATAAAATGTTGAAATTAAACCTTTATTACCACCTTTTTTCACCATAAACTCCTCTAGCTTACTTTACTGGGGAAAATTAAGGGATTTATTTTGCATAGATGAAATAAAGCTTCTAATTTGTAAATACTTAAAAAGTGTTTTTGGGGGATTTGAAATTTTGAGACTAAATCCTCAAATGAGACCATTACTCCATCACAAAACAGATCACCCACTTTCTTAACGCCTTTTACTGCCCAATCCTGAAACCCTGCATCCAACTTTCCTGGTACAAATAAGTAGAGATGGCACGATACCACTTTTTTATGTCCGATACCGATATCATAAATTTGGATATCTGCCGATACCGATATGAATCCGATATAGTGTTTTTTAATCAACAAAACAGTTTTTTAATATCTTGCTGCATTTTGTATAAGTTCATACTCAAGTTTAAAACAACAACTACACTAAAGCTATTCTGTTATACCTGTATGCAA